CGACGGCGTCGGCGACGGCGACGGCGACGGCGACGGCGACGGCGACGGCGACGGCGACGGCGACGGCGACGGCGACGGCGACGGCGACGGCGACGGCGACGGCGACGGCGACGGCGACGGCGACGGCGATGACGACGACGACGACGACGACGACAGCGAGTACCTTAGGAGGGCTCTCACAGAAAATCCCAGCTCAGAAACTCCTTAGGGATGACACGAGGAAGAGCGGGGAGAGGAGGAGGAGGAGGAGCAGGACGAGAGGGGGGAGGAGAAGGAGGGGGAGAGGGGGGAGGAGGAGGACGAGGAGGATGAGGAGGTTTTAGGATCAGTCCTACTCACCGACGAGTCAAAAGAGGGGGGGGGAGGGGGGACCAAAACAAGAGACCCTTGGGGGTTACACCGATCCTGGCCAGGACCATCCGGGGCCATCGGTGAATACGCCCTCCTGGCACGGCCGGCAAGGCAAAAACACCGATGGCGGGCCCCTTCTGGGATAGGCCTGCTCGGGACCGGCATGTGCGTAGAATTGGCGCCCTCCGAGAAGGAGGAGGAGGAGGACCCTGAGATCCGGGACCTGTTTCTTCTCACACCGGGCATTCTCGCCCGCGTTCGGGCCCCAGGACCATCACAAACGGATCTGGCTCGAAAAATATCGCATCAAGACCAGGTCCGGGGCTCCGGCTGTACGTTTCGCAGGGCTGCATTTGTGAAGGGGCCCTGGGGCGCAAAGGCACAAGTCGGAGGATTCGCTGTATTTTCAGATGATTTCTGATTTTCGTCTTCCTCCCCCCCCACGTCACATGCCTGCTGTCTCCCCTGGCCCGTCTTCTGCCTGCCCGCCCGCCCCGCCGGCCCTGGCCTCCCGCCTGGGCGTTCGTCGTCGTCTGCCTGATTCTCCCCTCCTCGTCCCCTTCCGCCGGACAGCACAGCCTGCCCGGAACCAGCGTGGCGGCGTATAGGGGCCTGAGCCACGTGGTCCTCACATGAGACCGTCCCGTTTCGGAGCTCTCTCAGGGGAGGCCACGTCACATGTGTTCCCATCATTTCCTGGGGATCCGCGATTCGTTGTGTCCGTGTGTTTTTGTCCCCTCCTGAATGTGCTCCGCAGCGTCGGACCTCGCTGGAGGGGGCACCCCCACCACGTCGGGGAGGAGGAGGAGGAGGAGGAGGAGGAGGAGGAGGAGGAGGAGGAGGAAGGGGGGGGGAGGAGGAGGAGGAGAAGGAGGAGGAGGAGGAGGCGAAGGAGGAGGAGGAGGCGGAGGAGGAGGAGGAGAAGGAGGAGGCGCAGGCGGAGGAGGCGCAGGCGAAGGAGAAGGTGCAGGCGAAGGAGAAGGAGGAGGGGGAGGCGGAGGAGGAGGGGGAACCCACCACGTCGGGTGGTGGCAGGCATCACGGCGGGAGATTTCTCGATGGCCGCTCGCGGCCTCCCAGGGGCCCGCGCCAGGCCCTCCCGGCCAGCAAGAAACGACCTGGGGCTAGAAGCCACCCCCACCTCGTCCTCCGCTTCCTCCTCCTGTTTCTCCTCCTCCTCCTCCTCCTTCTCCTCCTCTCTCCTCCAGCTCTTCCTCCTCCTCCTCCTATCCTCCTCTCTCGTCCTCCTCCTCCTCGTCCTCCTCTTCCATTTCCACCTCCTCCTCCTCCCCCTCCTCCTCTCTCCGCCTCCTCCTTCTCCTCTCTTCCACCTCCTCCTCCTCCCTCTCCTCCTCTTCCATGTCTCCTCTTCCATTTCCTCCTCCTCCTCCTCCTCCCCCTCCTCCTCATCCTTCTCCTCCTCCTCCTCCTCCTCCTCCTCCTACTCCACATCCGCATCCTCTTATTATTCATAGTAGTGGCATTAAGCTTGTTAGCATTATGAGTAGTGGCATTAGCCATCGTATTAGTATTCTTACGTTGCTTCAGAATAGTCGCGGCTTTCGCATTAGCAGCATTGCCACTATCGTTGCCAGTGTCCTTAATAGCAACAGTCTTAGCAGTGCTAAAGTACGACTCTGCTTACTCGTATGCTTAGTATTATTAGTTTTAGCATTATGCGCAGCAGTATGATGGTTCGTATGATTCTGCTTATCAATAATATTCGTACGCTTATTATCGTTTTCAAAATGTTATTCTCAGTGTGTTTCGTCATATCCGTCGTGTTGCTACTATTTTTGGTATTCCTCCTCCTCCTCCTCGTCCTCCTCCTCCGCTTCCTCCTCCTCCTCCTCCTCCTCCTCCTCCTCCTCCTCCTCCGCTTCCTCCTCCTCCTCCTCCTCCTCCGCTTCCTCGTCCTCCTCCTCCTCATACTCCCCCTCCTCCTCCTCCACTTCCTCCCCCTCCTCCTCCTCCTCCTCCTCCTCCTCCTCCTCCTCCTCCTCGGTCGCCTGCGGATTCAAAGATGGAAGTGTCCAACTGTGGTTCCCGCTGCTGGGCGAAAACGGCGGCCTCAATTCATGGTGAAGTTGTTGGTGCCGACGTGGACGGGCGTGGTGCCAACGGCCTTTGTTGGTGCCGACTGCAGCGGTCTTTGAATTAGTTTGTACCATACCATTCCCTGCGCCAGCAGTTGTCATGTCCATCCTTGTCAGACTGCCAATCATGTCCGTGCTTATGGTGTTCATGCCTATAATAATTCCAGCTCTCATACAATGGCTCCCAAAATTGTGCAGGTGATCCTTACCAGGTCGTCCACGAAGAGCGCCCACGGCGCGCAGCGTAGGCGAGCCTCTGACAGGACTTCAGATGAGCCTCACTTGGATGGGGCCTGGGCCCAGCAGGGCCCGTTCTACTCGTAGTCCAGCTTGGCTGGCAGTGCCGCACCCGCGGCAGGGGACAAGGGGGCACGGAAGGCCCCCTGCCGCGGGCGGGCGAGACTGAAGGTGCCACAGGAGGTTCACGGGCACCCGCCATCGAGCAGGCCGGGCGCCGCGCTGGTCGCCGCCCGTGGGAGGCCCGCGCCCCCCCTCAAGGCACGGGGGGATCCCCCGCAGAAGGCGACTTCCTCTCTCCTCCTCCTCCTCCTCCTCCTCCTCCTCCTCCTCCTCCTCCTCCTCCTCCTCCCCCTCCCCCTCCCCCTCCTCCCCCGCCTCCTCCTCCCCCTCCTCCCCCGCCTCCTTCTCCTCCTCCTCCGCCTCCTCCTCCTCCGCCTCCTCCGGGATTCCCTCCTCCAGGGCCCCCCTCTGGCGGGGCCGGGGCAGCTCTGGCCACGCCAGGGCGGCGCGCGGGACAGGGCCTCCTTGTCCCTGGCCTTCATCCTCTCCCACAAGGGCTTGAATCTCAGCCAAAGAAAACTCGGCGCGCGGGAGGGCGGAGGAGAAGGAGGAGGAGGAGGAGGAGGAGGCGGAGGAGCGGGGGGAAGAGGAGGAGGAGGAGGAGGAGGAGGAGGAAGGAGGAGGAGGAGGAGGAGGAGAGGAGGAGGAGGAGGAGGAGGAGGAGGGAGAGAGGAGGAGGGAGAGGAGGAGGAGGAGGAGGAGGAGGAGCGGGAGGTGGATGGAGGGGGCCCCTGTGCTCGTTCACGCAGGAACAGGGAGGCAGGAGCGCAGGGTGGGCGTGGGGGGGGACGGGAGGAGGAGGAGGGAGGAGGAGGAGGAGGAGGAGGAGGAGGAGGAGGAGGGGAGGAGGAGGGGGAGGAGGAGGAGGAGGAGGAGGAGGAGGAGGAGAAGGAGGAGGAGGAGAAAGAGGAGGAGGAGGCGGAGGAGGAGGAAACGGAGGAGGAGGAGGAGGAGGAGGACGACGACGAGAAGGAGGAGGAGGCGGAGGCGGACGAGGAGGAGGAGGACGAGGAGGAGGAGGAGGAACGTTAGGGGGAAGTTTAGGGGGCGGCCGGCTCGAGAGGGAAGCATCGCCCCAGGGAGGTGGCGATATACATGGCCGATAGGTCTCGGCGGCAGGGTCCCCGATAGCAAAAAAACGCACGCTGCTGACGGGGTGGGCTATCGGGCCCCTGCTTGCGATGCATGGGCGATTGCCAGAAGAAAAAAAAAAAAACACATAAACATAAACATTTGGCGCTCCGTGCGGATTTCTTGTATTCGCGCTGGACCCCCCTCCTTGGCGCGCGGAGCGCGCAAGGGGCGGCGCCGGAGGCGCCGCAGGGGGGTCCAGGCACAGATCTAAGAAATCCGCGTGGAGCGCAGTTCATGTTTCTGGCGTTTTTTTTCCTCTTCGAGTTGCACTATCTGCGATGAAGTGGCGAGTGGGGGCCGATGCATCCACCCATGAGCCTACTCCTTCAACACTGTCCCTGAGGAGAGAGGAACTGAATAAACTCGAGTACACAAAGTTTGGCCGGTTTGGGACTTTGAAACACCTCTCGAGGGAGGGCGGACGTCGAGGAAGAGCGGATGGATGAAGGACTGGGACCGTCGAGCCTGTTCACAAGTGTGCGTTATCGTCAGCTTGAGGTACGCAGTTTAAGAAATGTCAAAGAGCGCTTCAGCATGAACACATTCGTAACACAATTGCTCGTGTGAGGGGGGAACGGGAAGGGAGAGGGGGATGCGAAGCGGGAGGCAGAGGGAGAGGGGGAAGGAGGAGGAAATTGATGGGAGAACGAGGGGGAAGAGAAGGGGGAGCGGGAGAGGGAATTGAAGGGAGCGGAGCCGAGGAGGGAGACGAGGACGAGGAGAAAAAAGACTTCTCCTCCACCTCCTTCTCCTCCTCCTCCTCCTCCTCCTCGTATGTCTGCTGACAACTTGGCGACCGTGGCGTGCTCAGCTGAGCACATCACTCGCATCAGCCCTCTGAGCCGAATTCGGCTCACCGACGGCGACTGGACAAGTTGGCGCTTCCGAGGTGGATCGGTGGTTCTCGTCTCTTCGCGGGCTGCGCCACACGGCCCGTGCACCGATCTGCCTTCGAACAAGGCCTGGCACGGCGCGCAGCTTCTTTCACGCGGCAGCCAAGCTGATCGGAGTCCTTTTTGCGAGACGCGCGTGGGCAGGACGATTCTGTCAACGCCCTCCCGCGCCCACCTCTCTCGCGCGCCCGTGCTTGAAGGCACGACTCCTCGCCGATCGTCGCCTGACTCTGAAGGGGAACTGGGACACACAAATAAATAGACACAAATAACCAGATTCCCAAAATGTCCCGATATTTTCTGGGCTTCTCTCTTCCCCCCCACTTCCCATATTTTCCCATATCTCCCAGGGAATCGACGATTAAGTATGTCTGTGTGTGTGTGTTTCACTCCTGAGACTCACTTCCTGACCCTTGACTTGCGCTGCACCTGCGGGCCAGAAGACAAGCGACACCACCTCGCCTGCGGCCCCACGGGCCTGAGCACATGCCACGAGCTCTGGCGTGGGCTTCTGCGTGGCATACGCCACGGCCCCCGACGGGCCGCAGCGCAACAGGGAGGGCCGCAGGTGGCGCGGAGTCGCCCGTTGCTTGGTCGAACCTGCGCACGCACGGACCGCGGCGAGTGTCTGAGGCCTCCGCCTCCTCCTCCTCCTCCTCCTCCTCCCTCCTCCCTCCTCCTCCTCCTCCTCCTCCTCCTCCTGCTCCTCCTCCTCCTCCTCCTCCTCCTCCTCCTCCGCCTCCTCCTCCTCCTCCACAATTACTCAAAATGAATACTACTCTCCCTCTTCCCCTGATGACGGCCTGGGAGTGTCCGACCCCCCACGCGTACTGTTTTTGTTACACACAGGTTTCCGCGGAGTTGGGTTGTCGCCTGCATTTGTTTCCAAAATGCTGCTCTCGCTGAGGTGCCGGCCTCATTTTCGGGCCCCGCTCGTTCCGAATCGTGCTCCCGCTGCAACGCTGGCCTCATTTCCGTGCTTCCGCTCGTTCCGAATCGTGCTCCCGCTGCAGCGCTGGCCTCATTTCCGCGCTTCCGCTTGTTTCGACTCCTGCTCCCGCTGCAGCGCTGGCGTCATTTCCCGTGCCATGCTACGGCATGCACTGCAATGCTAGGTTGATGCTACGCTTTGCGGTGCTCTTCTACGCCATGCCATGCCGTGCTCTACAATGCATCGCGTACCCATCATTGCCCTGCTCGACATCCGACTGAGCGAGTAGAGAGGGGATCTGCGCCATGGTAAGGGATGGGAGGGAGGAGTAGGGTGTCAGATATGACGCGAGCGCACCTAGCTTGCCCTCCTCCCCCTCCTCCTCCTCCCGTCCCCCCACGCCCACACTGCGCTCCTGCCTCCCTGTTCCTGCGTGAACGAGCACAGGGGCCCAGAAGCCCAGAAGACAACAGACACAGAGCCCAGAGCTTTCCACCAGCACAACAAATCAGCCGAGCAAAGGCTGCATGCCTGATGCGCGATCCACGCGCGCGTTGGTCGATCGGACCAGCCTCCCGCGCGAAGAGGCACTGAAACGGCAGAGCCCCAGGAGTCCCCACGTCTCCAGATGTTCTGGACTCTCGTCTGCCCCATCCGCTTCCCATGTTTCTCCATGGGCCCCTGGGAGCCGACGATGACTTGTGTCTGTTTGTGTGTGCCTTCCCCTCCTGCGTCCTTCGCGCCCGACGCGCCCCGCCGCTGCCCGACCGCCCGCCGGCTCCGGCCCGCCGCCGCGACAACAGCGGCAACAAAAACAGTGCGGGAAGGCAAGGCGCCAGGCAGTTCCACCGCCAGGATGCGGGCGCTTCTCACGTCGCCGTCGTCGTCGCCGCCGTCGTCGTCGTCGTCAAAGACGTCTGCGTCGTCGTCGACGTCTGCGCCGTCGACGTCCTCGTCGTCGTCGTCGTCGTCGTCCTCGTCGTCGTCGTCGCCGTCCTCGTCGTCGTCGTGTCCTCGTCGTCGTCGTGTC